TAAATTAAAAATTTTGTATTGTTCGATACATATGCGTACCAAACCGAAAGCACCGTATCGAACGGTTCAATATCAATACGAGTATTGTTGCACCCCTAATAAATATAATATATATATATATATATACATATATATGAATGAGTCACCCTGAGCTCCATCACTATATCATGTATTTCATAATACTAGGTGACTGCTTCACAGCCACTCAGAGACTTATTGTATTTAAAAAAAAATAAAATAAAAAAAAATCATAATTTAGAGTCAGGGGTCCTGATTTGGCAATGATGTTTTATCACTAGGAAAATAATACAAGAAATATTCAGTTGAGATATATGTGCAACTCTTTAGCATCTTCTTATCGCTCATGTTTATGAATCCCTCAATTTCTGCTGTATCAATGTTAGGGCAATACATTAATTTCTTTTTTATATTTGGTGCATGTCATTCTTTCGCTTCCCGGGTTTAAATCAAGATGGAAAAGTACAAAGAAATGAGATTCAAAAAGACATCTTTTGTTGCAAGGTTTTATGCATGGAAAACACACACACACACACACACACACACACACACACACACACTAGTCAAATATCCACACACCTCATGGTCTGTGTGGTATTTTCTGTAGAGAATGTATTCTGCCAGGACAGTGTTAAGAAGTTCAGTAATGTAAAGCCAAAAACAGAAAACTTTACTCTTTGGATTGGTGAATGTATGTGTCTCGTGCGTATCTGTGCCATTTCTAAAAGTTTCATGTGAGTGACTGAGTTTCAGCTAGAAAGTCATGTTTGTATTATTATGCTTCAATGTGAAAATGAGTTCAAGTTTTAGAGTTTAAAGATGTGGTTTCATGTTAAAATGTTTTATATCGTGGAGAGTTTCTACATGCTGTAACTGCAAATAGTATACTGCCGATAAATTGTAAGATATTTAGATTATTATATCGTCACTAACAACATTTTCTTCGTTTTAGTGAACTACCACACCGCCCGCGTTTGTCATATTTATTTTACACTTTACTTTTTTTTTGCATGAACTGAAATCTTCTACATACTATACTGTTTTCTGTACACCTAGAGGGTCCATGAGGTTTGTGCATAAATTTGATTATTTTCTGCATATTGTTGTTAGGAGCATGCGTGCATCTCAGCTGGAAATGTTCCTTCCCTTTAAGACAAATGTCTAAATTAATTTATTTTTTAAAGGTTGCACTCTTACTAGCCCATGCAGATCATGAATGAACCCACACAAATGAGCAGACTTTAAAATGCTTGCAAACCGTGTTGTAAGGACATTTGTGTCTCTCCTGGTCCAAACTGTTGTCACTGCCTTTATGTTCTGATGTGAAGAGTCCTTTGCTGTTGTAAAACTCGGAAACCTTTGTTCAAAGTGACTCTGTTCTAAGTGGAAAATGGCAGATCAAATAAAGCTTCTATGCCTATTAAGTGAAGTATCATTTCCTCAGGAGTGTCTGGCTTGTTGAGTGGTTAGTGGTTGCTTGGTTGCTTAATTGCTTGACTGAAAAACAAAATCATTATTATGGCCATTATAATAAAATTCTAATCTAATTCAATCACTAAATGGCGGTACTCTAGATCTAATGTAGATTTTCAGCTTTTAAGCCAGCATAGCTGCATTTTTTTTACTCGATTTGTGCAGAGGAGCATCTTAAAATCATCCTGTTTCCAGGGTGATGTGGATGAAGGTGGGTGGGCAGCGGCACCCAGGGTGACCTTACTGAGACTGTGTTTTGTAATTCAGCATCTGCCATTCTGCAGTAAGGCGTTGCTCATGAAGAGGAAATAAAGATAACTCAGGTGGAGAGTAGCCCCCTGCATCTGTGTACCTTCGAGAGTATCTAATATGATGACTAATATGATGCACTTATTAGTTATTACAATCTTTTTTTGTTAGGTTAATGTTTTTAAGCATGTAGTTATTCGCTTAAAAAAGGTTAGTTTTGATGCAGTTCTCATGTTAATGCTGTTTTACTCTTATTAACAGAGGTTAATTGACTGAGTGCACTCACTGCTGTGAGCAGTCATCAACCTTCTCTGGAAGCTGCAGTGTGCAATAGCAGAGTGGTTTTGATAGCCACAGACTAGCTCAATGAACGGATATTAAGTGCTTTGATTGCACATTACAGTAGTTTTGGGAAGGAATGGCACAGCTACTTCCCTTTCTGTTTATATTCCTTTCTATGTGATATGAGGATTCTTTAAATGTTCTTGTAGTGTGCTTTTTATTTGTTTTCTAAACCATGTTAATGGACTGATGGATGACATGCCAAGAAAAAAAAATGAACGGAAATAGTCTTGGATGTTATTGCTGCAGTCATTTTCCCCTGAAGAAATGATAAAAATGCCAATGTGTTGTTGTGCTTAAAAATGTGTGCATGTTTGGGTCTGTCTGTCTTTTTTTTTTTTCTGTCACGCACGCACAAGCAAATAGACAGATGAAGAGGAGGTAGAGGTGTAGGAGGTAGAGATGATGGCATTCAGACAGTTTAAAGAGGGGCAGCAGTGAAATGCACAGTTTCAGAAAAGTTTGAAATGTGTGGAGGAGGAAGAATAATTTTACCAGCCACTCTTGTTTCTAGTTCTGAAGTCCTGATTGCTGTTTCTCTGAGGCATATGTATGTATGTATGTGTATATATATATATATATGGTAATGTATAGTAAATCCTTTGAATGGAAACTGTTCTCTCAGGCATGAAGAGGAAATAAAGAATGAAGAAAAGTAATTGGAATGCTACAAACAAACTAAACACAATTTTTCCTTGTCCTAAAAACGCAAGGAATTAGGAATTGGAAGATATCTTTCTAGCCTCAGAGATAAAAGCAGACATGTATCCTAACTCGGTTTTCACAGCTGAAAAAAGGAAACAGAATATGTGGTCAATCGTTTATGGGTGAGGCTGAGATGCACTTCACCCTACAGTGTAAAACATGCAACGGAGTAAAGAACAAGTTCAACACTGGGGCAATGGCGGGACGGTAATTAGTACTGTTGCCTCACAGCAAGGAGGCCCTGGGTTTGAATCCACTGGCCAGCCGGGGCCTGCTCCCTCTCACAGCCCAAAGGCAGGTATGTTAGGTTAACTGGTGGTTCTAAATTAGCTGTGCTGTAGATGAGAATGTAAGTCTGAATGACTGTGTGTCTCTTGGTGTTAGCCCTCTGATAGATTGTGACCTGTGGAGGGTGTGACCAAACTCTTCCCCAGACAGATGGTTGGATGGACAGATGAATAAATGTTCAACACAAATTTTCAGGTTTCAGAGAACTTAATGACCTTTGAAATGAGACAGAGGAAGCAAAGCTTTCTTAAAAGTCTTGTGACAACCAAGAGAGGGAGCATGAGAAGGAGAGAGAGAGTTGGTCCGTGGCCACTGGTGGTTTATGACCTTTTTAGTCACAACTCATTTTTAAACAGTCTGCATATAAATATGCCACATCAGCAGACAACCCATATACTATAGGGTGTTTGCCTTTTTCCTCCATCTTTATTTGTATTTAACAATTCTGGTTAACATTAGATGGATGGATGGATGAATGGATGATGGATGGATGGTGTTCAGTTTCTTATTACCGCACATGTCCTTGGATTTATCTGATGACCCCTTTAGTCACTAAAGCACCAGGCTAGGAAGCTCCAGCACATGTATAGTGGGCCTAATTCTTTTAAATAGAAATAATTATGGATGATTTGGGGTTTTTTGACCATTTAAAATCTTGTAGTATACTTAAATATTTTTGTAACACAATTTGGACATT